AAGGGGCTGATGGTATAAGTTCTGATCCAAGTCTGAAAGCCTGAAAAGTAGCAGCACCTGGGCAGCTTTGTCTAAGGGCAGCTTTGTCCCAGCTCAAGCAAAGAGAGCAAATCTGCCCTTCCTCCACCTTTGTTCTATTGAGGCCCTCCACAGACTAGATGTTGCCCACCTGCATTGGTGAAGGCAATCTTCTGTACTCAGTCTACCAATTCAAATTCTTTCCAAGACATCCTCACAGACACATGCAGAAATATTTTATCAGCTATCTGGGCGCCCCTTATCCCAGTCAAGTTGACACATAAAATGAACCATCACTTTGCCCTAAGAATCGCCTGTGCTCTGCTGATGTATCCTTCCCTCCCTCGAACCCTTAGCAACTACTGATCCATTTACTATCTCCATAGTTTTGCCCATTTCCAAAATGTCATATAGTTGGAATCATACAATAGGTAGCCTTTTCAGATTGGCTTCTTTCACTTACTAATATGCACTAGTAATATTCATACAAGGGAAGTAATATTTCACTTAGGAACATCCTCCATGGCTTGGTAACTCATTTCTGTTTAGCACTCATTTCATTTTTATTTCATTTCCTTTCAGTTCATTTCTTTTTAGTGCTGAATAATATTCCATTGTCTGGATGTACCACAATTTAGTCATCTATTCAGCTACTGAAGGACGTCTTGGTTGCTTCCAAGTTTTGGAAATTATGAATAAAGCTACTCTAAACATCCATATGCAGGGTTTTGGGCAGACGTTATTTACCCAAATTCATTTGGGTAAGTAACAAAGAGAACAATTGCTGGATCGTCTGGTAAGAACAGTTTTGTAAGGAACTGCCACCCTGTCTTCCAAAGTGGCTGTGCCATCTTGCCTTCCCACCAGCAGTGTATGAGAGTTCCTGTTGCTGCACATCCTTATCAGCCTTTGGTGTTATCAGTGTTTTTTGTGTTTTCACCATCTATAATAGGTGTGTGGTGGTATCTTGTTTAATTAATTGGGGCTTTAGTGGTGTTTGTGAAACATTATAATGGTTCTAAGAGTCAGAACTATACAAAAGATATACACAGAGAAGTATTGTTCCCCCCACCCCACTACCTAGTTCCCATTTCCCTCTTTCTCCCCCTTTCCTGCCCAATCACAGTAGGTACCCAATCTCTTCGGTTTCTGGTTTATCCTTTCCATATTTCTTTCATACAAATGAGCAGATACAAGTATATTTCCTTATATCCCCTTTGTCTTACGTGAAGCATAGCATAGTTTAGATACTTCTTTGCACTGTAAAATGGTTATTTTAAAGTTTGTTTCTGAAAACACATTATCTGGATAACCTGTGTGTCTGTTTTTATTGTCGCCCCCACACCTTGAATACTATCTTGTCTCTTTATCTGCCTGCATATTTTTGATTGAGTGGTAGACATTTAATATAAAAACTTACATGAGAAATAACATGAGACTTAGGATGATGGTAATTCCTCCAGAAGGGATTTACATTGGCTTCTGGCAGACATTTAGGAGCATGAGCAATCCAAGTTTGAGCAATCCAAACCTTAATCTAGTTTCTAATACTGAGATGATGCAAAGCTGCACTCAGTCCCTCCAAGGGTCAATTTACTATGAGTTCACCTTTCCTCCTAAGATATAGCCCTCCAGGGTTCCAGCCTGAAGGAATGCTTCTCGGCAGGTTCTGGACTCCAGGTTGTGTCCTCCAAACCTTGAGGGAATGATTCTGTTCTCCTAGGAATATATGACCCCAAAAGCCTTGCTCATTTCTGTCGGTTACCTGATTCTCCTGCATCTTGGCCCCATATTTTTTTCTGTCTTGTTAGCTCTTTGATGCCTTCAGACAGGTGGTTTTTAATATTTTGTTTGGCTTTTCTATTGTCCTCAGTGGTGAGTATGCCTCAATTCTGCCATTACAGAAGCAGAAGTTCTTTCATTGCTTTTTATATTGAGTCTGAAATGTTTCATTTTAGAGGTTGTATTTAGTTCTTTTTCAAATCTATTCTTTTCCCATATTTTTAAATTCTTTTGTGTTTAATAAAAGAATACACACATACATAGGTATGTGTGTATGTATACACTGTTCTATTAGCTAAGTTCTTGTTGATCTAATATTGCTATTGTGTCTGTTAACTCATTCACGGTAGGCAATCTCCTCATGCATTTTATAATTTTGGACTGTGAAGTCATTTTCAGAAGGACCGCTCTGTGTGGCCTGAGTTGAGGGAATGCCATGTCAAAATAATAACTGTTTGCTTCAATGAAGCATCCTGTACCACCATCTTGAGACTGGTTTTTATATTAATTTTTTCTATGGGTTGAGAATAAATGAATATGAAACCCATGTGAGGCACAGGACTTGAGTTTCAAATTCTCAAGGGAGAGTCTTTCCCCCATCCAGAACCCAGGCTAAGACAAATTTGCTTGTTGTTTCCCAAAGGATATAACCCCTCAAGAGTCCTGGCTTCATGCAGGGTCTTGGTTCTAGCTAACTTTCTGCCTGCAAGACCTTGTTTTCTGTCATTATTTGGATATTAAAACACAGCCAGATATTTAGTAAGACCCACTGTTGCCCACTCCACCATTACTACCTGCCCAGACAGTTGCTGGATCAGCTCACACAACACTCTGATTTTCAGTTTTCCCTCTGTTTTTGGCCTCTACTTTGTTTTTGGATTTCCTTTATTTTCTTGAAGGCACTATGGTGCTTGTAAAAGAATGTTTATTATATTTTAGTCAGCATTGTAGTGGGAAGGTATCAGGTTAGCTAACATTCCATTGCTAGAAATAGAAGCTAAACAGTTTTTTTTCCCCCTAATTAGAATCACTACTATCATGGTGATGCTACTAGGACAAGTCTGAGTATTTTACGTGAACAAATGAGCAGAATTGCCCCACTATGCAAGTTTGGAACAATAAATATTCTTTCCCTTTTCCCCTGTCTCCCCAAGAATCACCCAGAGAACAGTCTAAAGGCCGATCTGCCTGTGTCCACTTCCGCCCCAGTGAAGGCCGTGATGGAAACAGACATCCAGGAGTCTCCTCTGTTGAGAAGCCCAGAGGTGAGACAGTTGGTGAGCAGCAGTGTGACAAGGGGAAAGGCTTCTTGAAGCAGCCTTCCTGTATCAGGGTGGCTGGGCCAGACGAGGAAGGAGAGGATGCCAGTTGGGCAGCTGCAAGCCTTCCACGGCAGGATGGCCCCCGGAAACCCAGCAGGCGGCAGGACACAGCACCCAAGGCCAAATGTGCCTCCCAGAAAAGACGAGTTCAAGAGCTCCGAGGAGGAAGGCACTCCCCGGCTGGCTCTAGCCGGCCTGGCAGTGCCAAGGGGGAGGTGGTCCATGCTGGGCAGAATCCTCTCCACCATCGAACATCAAGAAACAAAATGACACAGGACAAGCTCGCAGGAGGGATCTGCTCAGACTTGCCACAGAACACAGAGGTGTTGAGGTCAGGAGTCAGGAAGTCGGGAACATCCACCCTGTGGGAGGACACTCAGATATCCAAGGAGACTGATCCAGCACCTGGTCCCCTCTCTGGGCAGACTGTGAATATTGGCCTTCTCCCCGTAGAGCTGCGGCTGCAGATAATCCAGAAAGAAAGAAGCAGGAAAGAGCTGTTTCGCAAAAAGAACAAGGCGGCAGCGGTCATCCAGCGGGCCTGGAGAAGGTAGAATGAGGGAGGGGCCCCGGCTCCTCTGGATCTCTGCTTGTCCTGATACTCCTAACGTCCTAACGTGACATGCCCTGTGCTCTGTTCTAGTGAATTCCATGTGCTGGCATGACAAGGCCAATTTTACTTGAGTGTGCCCAGAAAATTCACTCATGTGTAGGTCCTTGTAATTTACATTGATAAGCTATTTGGAAGATGGTTTTGCCAAGAAAATCAGGAAGCAGCCAGGATAGCCTGGTGTAAAGGAAAAGAGCCTCGGTTTGTAACCAGGAAGCCTGAGTTTCCCTTTGCATATCACGTGGCTTTTTTTTTTTTCTTGCTGTTTTCTCATCTGTGAAACAGGATTTAGTAATTCCTGCATCTGTCCTGTTTATATGGCAGGTTGCTAGAATGAAATCATGGGCACTTTGTGAATTCTAAAGCACTACACGTGTAAGATATTTTTCTTTTTATGTCCTTACTACCCAGGAATTAGTAATAGTCCGAGTACCTAAACCAGGGCCTGGTCATAGTGGATTAAGTGGCTGACATAGATTACAAAACCCTGCGAAAGCACCTGCCAAGCTGGGACTATGGGGTAGGGGCTAGGAGTAGCGGTGGAGGCGTCCTGACATACGGAGACAAATTCCTCCAGGGAGTCATCATGGGAGGACTGGAGGAGTCCTTTGCTGCAAGTTTTTCACATATTTCATCATCTCCTTCATCTGCAGGCCCCACTAGGGCCTAAATCTAGATGAGGCCTTAGTCATGACCGGTGTCTGGGGGAGGGCTGGAGCCGTTGCCCACAGGTGGGGCTCAGGTGGCCTCCGTTTCTAGAGAGAGGAAGGGCACTGGGGGAACAAAGCAAGTAAATCACTGCGAGCACAGGTGTGCCACATGTCAACACCCCTGTCAGGAGATAAAAGGGCCAGAGAGACGCTACTGTCCGCAGAGAGAGAGAGGAGAGGAGAGAGCGGAGAGAGCAGAGAGAGCAGAGAGAGCAGAGAGAGCAGGAGAGGTTCTTGGGAGATCTGGGGAGAGGCCTTGGGGACTATGGTGCCAAGGACTGCCTGGCTGAGAGCCGGGCGATCTGCTCCATGTGGGCACGGCCTCTGCTACAGTGCATCCTCATGTGTGTTTGAGCCGCTGGCCTTACAAAGTCATCTCCCACCTGATCCCCCTTCTCTCTCAGCCACCCCAGGAAGCTGCCACCGTAGGGATCAGTGTCCCCATTTTTCAGGCAAGCAGATTGTCTCAAGAAAAACGACTTGTCCTAGTGATACAGATCAGGCACTCGAAGCTCTGACTCAAGGGCCTTTCCCATACGTTCTCGGTAAAGGTACTGTTTGCTGTGGTCAAGGTCACGGTGGCGGAAGCAGGCCTCATGCTCTTCACCTCAGAACAGGCTGGAGCAGAAGGGCTGCATGGATGGTGCTCACACTGGTCAAGGTAATGTGACAGGGAGATGATGTTATTACTGTTGCTAATTGATTAAGCGCTTGCACCAGGTGCTGTTCTAAGTCGTTTTACCTGTATTAACTGATTTAATCCTCCCAATAACCCTATGAGGTAGATACTGTTCTTGTCCCCATTTCACAGATGAGGAAGCTGAAGCACAGAGAGGTTAATAACCTGCCAAGGTTAGAGAGCTAAGAAGTGCCAATGCTGGTTTGGAGGGGAGATAGTCTGTCTCTGAAGCCACAGATGGGAACGGTCCTTGCTTCCCCTCCTTGGAGAGTTCTACCAGACGTGCACTGGCTACCATCCCAAGGGAACTTTTTAAGTATTTCAGCTGAAACCTGGGATCTAAACAAGCCAGCAAGGTTTACCACATCAGGCCCCACAGCTGCTCCCTAGCCAAAATGCCTTCCCGTCAAACTATTCTTTGAAGAGTCAGAAGCTGACAGGTCCTGTCCGTAAGTGTCCATAGCAGCAAATGAGCCTTCAGTCATTCCCCCCAAGAACACTGGGTTCACAGTCTGTGTGCCCATCTGGGGAGGCAATTACACAGCCCTCTGGCTGCACCATTGTGCAATTCTGAGACCTGGGACATTGACTCCTAAAAGAACTGTGGGATGCTGCACGTTGTGGGAAGTTGCATGTCTGGTGACAGTAGAAACACTCTTATTGATTCTGTTATATAGCCTTATGCATCTTCCATTTAAAGTACAGAAGCCCAAAGCGTTGTCCTGGGACCTTTGACACCAAAGCTAAGGAGCAGTGAGAGGTGGGGTAGAAAACAGGGTTTGGCACATAACTGCTCCACAGAGGCAGGCTGTCGTTACAGGAGACATGTTGAGGACGGAAAGAGGCCGGCTGGGAAATGTGCAAGGATAGGGTGAGCGGAGGGAACCTTGGGCCCGGAGAACAGTGAGTGGGGCTGAGTCTTAAAGTGTGAGTCTTATTACCAATCAAGACTTTATTTTTCAAGATTGAAACGAGATAGTGCATGATCTAAGTGAGGCTGGAAATTTGCTGTGGCTAAGAGCAGTTGTTGTATTAAACTTCCTTTTTACCTGAACATTTGTAAGCTGCCTTCCTGCCGGCTCTTCTCCAGCATGTTGTAAGGTGAATTAGCAAGGATGGGCTGGACCATAGGAAGAGCTGTGAGCCCTGGGCTGAACGGGACGACTGGGCATCTTAGGGCCCCCAACAAACCAGGAGTGCTATTTTCCTTGAGGATGGCAGAACAGAGGCTATTACTCTGAGCCCTGGAACCATCCTGTCATCTGGACACAGACTCAGAAGTCTGCATACCAGAACTGATTAGGTGGAAGTTGTACCCCCTGAAAGCCAACACCTGGGCTTCCCAGTGAGTTTTTTGCCACAGAGAAGAGGGTGTGGAAGATGCTTGGCATCACAAACCAAAGCAGCTGAACTATGGAGCAGTACTGCCCCGTATCTCCAGCTTTTCTCCAGAGTTGGCTTTTTGGAAATGTGATATATATTCTAGTAGAAAGATGCCATGGTTTGGCATGCTAGAGGAAAAAAGAATCATGCAGTTTGAGTGAAATCGGCCTTGAGGGCAAGAGAGAAGGGCTGCACCTCGCATCACAAGGAGATTTTTTAGTGGACTTTAGGAAGACCTCATTTCTCATTTGGTGTATTGTAAAATCAGGCATGGGGCCTGTCTCTGCAGCATCTTTAGGCTCACTAGTGATTAATCAGCTACCAATCAGATAAAGAATACTGAAGCAGCTTTTCTTGGGAGGCTCCAAAACAGCTGTGTTCATTAAGAAATTTAGGAGTGCGTGTGGGATGGACACCATCAAATAAACACTAGATGCAAAGACAGCCATCATCCCCATGCCCCTCACCTCTCTCCCAATCCAGGCCCCACCCTCCAACAGAATGAACTTAGTAAAATACAGCTCTTACTTTTGCCACCTTTTGTTTTTCCTTAAGATTTACTTATTTTAGAGAGAGAGCCCGCGCACGGGGCAGAGGGGCAGAGGGAGAGAGAAAGAGTTATAAACAGAGTCCTAAGCAGACTCCACACTGAGCACAGAGCCCAGTGTGGGGCTGTCTTACCACCCTGAGACCATGACCTAAGCCGAAATCAAGAGCTGGACACTTAACCAACTGAGCCACCCAGGTGTCCCACTTTTGCTACCTGTTTTAAAAAAAAAACCCTCTGCAGATCCCCACCAAGTACATAGAACAGAACAAAGTCCTTAGCAGGATTTGGCTGTTGGGTCAGACAGCACTGAGTTTGAATGTTGGTCTCTCCTGGCTCTAGCTGTGAGACCTTCTGCAAGTTACTCAACCTTTTCCCCCACCAGTTTTGAGATATAATTGACTTACAGATAATTGACGTACAGCCTTGTGTAAGTTTAAGGTGAACAGCATAATGACTTGACTTGCATATAGGATTTATATGAAATGATTACAATGTTTAGTTAGGATCCATCATCTCATGTAGATATTTAAAAAGCAGGGGAAACAAACTGGTTTTTTTCCTTGTGATGAGAACTTAGGATGCTCTCAACTTTTATATATACCATAAAGCAGTGTTACCTATAGCCACTGTGTTGTACATTATATCCCCAGTACTTACTTATCTCATAACTGGAAGTTTGTATCTTTTGATCACCATCACCCAATTCCTCCTCCCCTCACCCCCTACCTCCGGTAACCACAAATCTGATTTTTTTTTTTTTTTTTAAGATTCCACATATAAGTGAAATCCTACAGTATTTCTCTTTCTCTGGCTTATTTCACTTAGCATAATTCCCTCTGGTCCATCTATGTTGTCACAAATGGCAGGATTTCATTTTTTATGGCTATTGTATATATCCCACAATTTCTTTATCCATTCATCCATGGATGGACAACTTAGGGACGTATCCATGTCTTGGCTATTGTAAATAGTGCTGAAGTGAACCTGGGGATGCAGATATCTCGCCATAGATCTTCATTTCCTTCTCTATTTATCCCCAGAAGTGGAATTGATGGATCATACGTAGTTCTATTTTTAGTTTTTTGAGAAAAATCCACACTGTTTTCCATCGTGGCCAAACCAATTTATTCCACCAAAAGAACACAGGTTCCATTTTCTGCACATCTTGCCAACATTTGTTATCTCTCGTCTTCTGAGAAGAGCCATCCTACCAGGCATGATGTGATCTCTCATTGTGGTTTTTGATTTGAATTTCCCCTAGGATTAATGATGTTGAGCACCTTCTCATGTACCTGTTAGCCATTCATGTATCTTCTTTGGAAAAATGTCTCTTCAGGTCCTTTGCCCCTTTTTTTCAATGGATCATTTGGGATTTTTTGCTATTTAGTTGTAGGAATTCTCTGTTTTTTAGATAGTAACCTCTTTATCAGATATATGATTTGTAAATATTTTTTCCCATTCCACAGATTGTCTTTTCATTTTGTAGATCATTTATTTCACTGTGCCTAAGCTTTTTACTTTGTAGTTCCACTTGTTTATTTTGTTGTTTGTGCTTTTTGCATCATATCCAAAAAAATCATTGGCAAGACATCTGTCAGGGAGCTTTTTCCCTTAAGTT